CTTTTTTTTTTTTTTCTGCATAACGTGAACAAGGCCTGCTGAGGTTTTAAACTATTAGTCTCTTGATCAGTCAAAATGGTAGTCAGGAGCTCTCCTCTTTGCAACTTCAAGCCATAGTATGTTCTCATTTTGTTTTCACTCTACGTGAAAAATGCATGCTATCTTTCTAATTAGTTGGTGCCACATCACAGTGCATAATTTCATTTGGTTCTTGCATTTCAGTTTTAAGAAGTTTGGCCAACCTACGCTGGTAGGTTCATCTCAAGAACAGCAATGTTGATTCTCCCCACCCCACCCCCCACGTTTAATTCAAAGAGAGAGATAGTTTTAACTGTTTCCTTCAGTTAAAAACTGTGGTGCAAGAACACCAAACTGATCGTGTGCAGTGAATTTCAGAGACACAACAAGCTTATTGAACACACTATGTTTCTTAATTCTGCTTGATATCTGTATGTCCCAGCATCCACAACATAACATGTATGTTGCCGGTTTCTCTATGTATTCTGATTCACATTGCATACTTCCTATGGACAGAATCATCCCTGTATCAAAATCAGTCAGATGCTAAAGCCCCAACAACTCTTTGTGCTCAGTGAAAGAATCCAGTGCTAAAACAGCATTTTTGCTGTCTGAGATAACAGTAATCTCACAAGACAAATTTAAAGTAATATTTCTGCCACACACCTGCTCCGAGAGCTGTACGCCTCCAGATTTCATATAAATTAGTTTAAAAACATGGGTAGGTAGGTAAGGAGAAGGGGTTTTTTTCTTCAATTTTAGCAGCTTTTAATTTTTAAGAAACCGAACAACCTATATCCAGTAATATGTTAGATATTTTATATATATACTTTGTCAGCAGGATAAAAAAAAAGTAAAACTATTTGAAGGCAACATTTTTTTTTTTCCTTCTGTTCTCTGTGTAAGTTAGAACAATTCAGCAGGTGCGTGACAAAAATATTATACACCAGATATGGTCCAATGTCATTTTTTTTTTTCCAATAAAGTTGTTCATATTTCATTGGCCAGTTCTTCAGGTTCTGCAGAACTATCTCCATTAACTGTGATCTTCATATCCTCTTCATATCCAGGGGGCATGAAAGCCAAAGCATAAGGGAAAAGCTTATGACAATTTGCTCTGTAAGTTTCAGATGCTTCTTTACAGTCTCCAAGGCTACCGTCACATAAAGCTTCTAATACCTCCATACAAGTCTAATTAAAGAGAAAAATAAAGAAGTGTTATGGTTTCTTAAACGTTCATCTGAACACTCTCAAACTAGAAATACAATACTACAAAGAAAACAAACTCGAGTATTGTTTTCAGGTTTCTACCAACATCAAATGACTTTTTTTTAACTAGACACAGCATGAAATACCAGTGTAGTCTGATTCGAAATAATGCAGTTTAAAAAGGGATTTAAAAAACAGCTAGAAATCTTGGCTGAAAATGAAAACACTCATTTGTCACCTGATCCTTATTTTCCTAAAAAAATTTGATTCTTACTAGTTGGCAACCAAGAACCAGGCTTCCTTGCAACTAAATGTGTTTTTGGGGTTTGTGGTGTGTGTCGTCCGCCCGTCCCCGTCCCCCTCCCCATCTTGGGATACAGTGAAAATTTCAGCAATACGTAACATGCATTTGAATTTTAGCATTCGCAAATAAAAACAATGAATCCAGAATATATACTATCATTTCCTAATAATGACTTTGTGAACGTGCTTTCAGATAGAATTGGAAGACTCGTGGAATATAATTAAAATGTAAAAATAGCATCAGCTGAATAACCATAATTAGATGTAAAAACATTTCTGGTAGGGGGAAAAAAAAACCCCAAACATTTTTACATTTAAGGATATGTGACTTACTGAAGCGTGTCTGTAACTAGTGAATCAAACCAAATTACTCGGATATTATCACAGATGTAAGATGTACCTGCAGTTTCATATCCATTTTTGTTCACAATTCAGAAGAGAAATTTCCTGGTTTTTTTCAACTTGCATTCCAAATGCGAGAAACTGACCTACTGAGCTTCACAAAGCCCAGCCAGCATTTAACATCAGTCCATGTCGTGTTCTGCTAGCATTAGCGTAGTAAGCTAGCCTTTTCCCACTCCTCTGACATTTACTATAGCTTTTATTTCTTCTGTGTATTGAGAAGAAATATCTGTAACTGCTCTGTCCTCCTGCTGTGGGGTTATGAAGTTCTCTTCAACAACCTCTTTGCCTCACATTAGCTCTTTGCGTCACCGGCATCCACAGAAGGTCAAATATATCTAGATTTATGCCTGCAATGTGCCCTGAGACAGCTGGTCTTTACTAAAATGAAATATAATATATTTGATCTCTTTGCACACGAGAATGCCTTTCAACAAATGCCTAGACTCCTTCAGATTCTTTTTTTTTAGGGCACTTTCAATTTCCCATCTATAAGTTCAGTAGAACTCCAACTCTTTATGTTGGCACCAAGAATGCTTAAATTGAACTTTTCCAGTTTTATCACAATGCTGCGTATATCATCTTTATACGCTGCTGAGTCAGTAAATGCTTCTTATAGTCCTACCAAGATAACACCTCTAAAACAACTAAGCATTTTTGGTTACATTTTAATCTTTCCCCAGTCCAATTCCCACAATCCCACTCTCAGGCAAAAAACACAGCTATGAGGCAAAAAGAATGCTGTTGAAGGCAATTTAATTTTTGTTTTCTAAACCTATTGATAATCTATCTTAAGCTCTTTGAGACTGCTCAAACAGTAACACACAAAAAAAAACCCCAAAAAGAAAACAGTTTATGAAAACTGCTAAATATGTACTTAGGATATGAAAGACATGAGTTTGTGTCCCATAACCAGATCAGCTAGAGAAAGGATCTGAATCTTTAACATCCTAAGCAAGTTTATAAATCATGGCAAATTGTCTTGTCTCTCTTTTCCCCTCTGTTTTGTCCAAAAATTCTATTGTGAATTTAAAATCCTTCCCAATTAAAGTTCTGTTGAACCCAGTATATTTCCAAAGGGATGTTTTTTGGAAGATGCTGATTTTTGCCCACAAAAGAGTAATTTTACTAGAAAGTTCACCTATTTTACTTGCAATAGATCTAAAAAATTCTTCAGTCCCCAGACAAAGAGCACAATAAAGAAATAAAGTGCCAGGGGAACCGAAAGAAACAAAATGTCCTAAAGTTTGCACAGCCTGCCAAGGAATCTCTCTAATACTTAATTAAATGTACTGGACACTCTCACAGTGATGCCAAAGGAAACGATTTGACTGGGATACAGAAATAGTTTAAAAAAGACTAGAAAAAAAAAAGAAAGGACATTTTATTCCCTCTCTGCATTGTCAGGTAAGGTTCTGCCAGTGTGCGGTCATAGGAAGAAAAAACCATGTTTATTCATTCTTTATAAGAAACATTTGAAGATACTAAAAAAAATTACCTTCTCTCGAATACTTCAAATTGCAAGTCAGAACTGATAGCCTTCCCAGATGAAGGTGGGGGAGCAGGGAAAGGGGCATGGTGGTGGTGGCACAGGGAGATTATTCCACGACCACCAGAATGGAGCAGAATTTCAAAATTTGGTAAGCTTTTTACTTAACTACATACTAAGGCCAAAACATGCATATGCACCTTTTATTAAAACTAAGATAATTCACACAGCTTGCAGGGGGATGAATATGGAAAGCTTTCACGAAGTCTGAGCTGCTCCTAAGTCAATATTTTTCTTGCGAACAGTCACCTCTGTAACAGCTAAAGCTCAGACAGACTACAATCTTTCCTTATTGGGGAGCTTTAGCATCTTTTGCCATGTGAATTCTCTTGTGTTTAATAAGCTTTCCCATTATCTGTGGCAATAACATTGTTTCTGCTGCTAGCTAGCTATTTTCATATTACGACAAAACTAAATTAATTTAAATGTGTGAAAAGGACGTTAAACATTTCAGTTCAGGTGAACCTGATACCCCGTTCTCTCACATGACAACCCAACCTCCTTACCATAAGGCACAGCAATCCTTTCAGCTTTCTCTTACCTCTGTAATTTGCATAAAGCTTCCACAGATATACCAGAAGTTGTTTACAATTTATAAATATCTGTTACCTGAAGATTTCTGTTAGTGAGGGATTCATCCAGGGTCATTGCCAGCTCCACTGCCCTTTTCTGACTGGAAGGATCTAAATAGTACATCATTTTGGCAGCTACAGGAGGAAAAATAAGCTTCATCACCCAGTGGATGACCAAAAACATCTTATATACTAACATAAAATAGAGATAATATGACTAAGAGAGGATACTGAACTCTACAGTAGTAGTTCAAAATGGAACCACGTGGAGCATTAAAGCTTGACACCTGAGCAAGTAGAAGCTTTAAGTCTACTATTCGATGCTAGACAAAGCATTGAAACAAATAGGTGTTGTCTCTACTGCAGGGTAGGAGCATTTTGCAGTGTACTGTGGAATCCCTGGCAGTGAAGATAACAAATCAGACCTGCTGCAACACACCACAGTTCCCTCCAGCACCACTGCTCACATCTCCTTCACACAGAAACCGAGGCACAGAAGAGATGTGCACACAGAGCTCTTGTTATAATACGGTGTCAGGACACAACCAGGACACAGTTCCGAGTCCCACGGCACAGATGTAGTTGAAGGGACTTGATGCCAGAGAAGATGCAAGAGTACACTCACCGCTTTCTGTGGCCAGGTCTGAGCCCAGACTGAGCCACAACAGTAATGCCGCTCCTCTGGGTGGTTTACATCCTGTTTCCCACGTGGTACCCACTGTAATATGTGGTCACTATTGACAGACAGCCTTTCCTAACAGGTAACCAGCACCATCTAAGCTCCTCATGTTAGGCATACCAATAGCTCTGGGCGTTACCTGGCTTGCTGAGCACTCAGCGCATTTCTCTTGGCAGTCAGCCTCTTCAAATACATGTATCAAAAAACCCTTTGCAACTCGGAAATACTACTTCACATACGTAGCTCATATGAACTATTTCATTAAATATGCATTAAATACAGTTACAGCCTTATGATACATTCAGCATGCATCAGAAATGAGAACAGGGCAGAGAGGTCCAAAAATCTGTATTTTAGCAGCATATAGAAAAAAATTAAAGAAAACCACAGACAACCTGGTGGTCATGTTGTCACAAAAACACAAACCGAGAGCAGAAAAGCATTCCCGATAGAAAGTGATTTTTACATCGCTGATGCTGAAACTGAGATGCCACTGCTAGATAAGCAAAGAAAATACAGAAGCAGGGCAGAAAAAGCATAAAGGCAAAATACCTGATAACCTATGTGGTAGTGAGTCATAGTTCTTTTTAAGGAAAGCTTCATTGAAGTTCTTTGGATTAGTTGCTCCAAAAAGCCGATTCATTTCTTGATTTAACACTGTTCTAACTGCATCAGGCAGATCCTTACTTTCAGATACTATGGAATTGGAAAAAAGAAGTTAATCGAGGTGAGCACAGGTAATCACAGTAAAATCTACTTTATGCATTTATTTTAATACTTGTCATGTCTACATTATTAATATAATTGAAAAAAAAATCTCAAAGGAAGATGCATGAAATTCGAAAAGGTAAATAACTGGATCTGGTTGGAAAAAGCTTAACTGTGACAGTTTTCTGATGCTTAGAAAAAGCCAAAGCCTTTTTACTCCAATGCACTCTCCCCCTTACTGATTGAAATCTATTAGGCTCAAAGATTGAGGTCATACAAGTCTGTTCTTAAATGTATCTAGCCTGTAGCCATCAACAGGAAGGGTAACCTTTTGGGCAATGGAAGGGAGAGAATCCTTCCAACCTTCTAAGCCTTCTCCTCACATGCCGACACAGGCTGCCAGCAGAAAAGCCAGATTCCTCACTCTGCAGTTTCCATTTCTTCACTCACTCACTCTTTCAGGGGTTCACCATACTACTCTCAGTCTTAAAAAGACTTACTAATACTTGTTGGAATAACTACTAAATCCATCTGCAGTCATAATAAACATACTTAATTTTAGCATGAATCAGTTGTTTAAAAAGCTTTCTAATACATGTATTAAATATTTTGAATTAATTGTGCTAACAGTCTATAAGCTAAAAATCAATGGCTGTATGTGGGTTAGGCATCATCTGGAAGCACGTACAGATGAAGTCATATCAAACATACATACCACTGCTGAAGAGATGAATCATACATTCATGAAGCCAAGGATGACTAGAATCAATAGCAAAGGCTCTCTTCACAGACTGAAGCATCAGAAGGAACTTCTCTGGAAAAGAAAGTGTTGGCAAATGTTCAAAAACCTGTGGCTGGAACTCACTGCATTATGTTGCAGGAGTATTTAGTGTTTGAAATTAGAATGATCAGAAGAAATTGAAGCTGAGTGTACTGCAACAGCCATTTTTTCTAACATGCATTTATTTAACCAGTGAATTAAGCCTGTTCAACAGGTAAGTTTGAACATAGTAAGTTCTTAAAGCATAGTATTTAACTGATACAAGAATTCAAAAATCAAGTGTTTCAAAAGACCAGTTCTCATTAGCAACTGTACACCACTTCTTTACAGCATATAGTTCTGCGAACTACAGATACAAACAAATAACTAGGGCAAATGCAAGCTGGGAGAATTAACTACAGTCTCATTGCTTGTAGATTTAAACACAGCAAAGAAAACGGATAATCACCAAACTTTGGTTTTTCACAGACTGCTCATGGCTGGGGTGTCAGTCCAATGAAGAGTTGTGTGGCTCGACAGGGACTGACTCCTCATATCTCATCAATAATTTTTGCTTAAATTCTAATATACATCTTTACAAAGTGCAAATTGCTTTCTTCCATTTGTTTTCTCACCTACCTTTTCGAAAATAAATCTCAAAGGCAAAAAGATGCGTCTCTATTTTGTTCTTCACTAAATTCTTCAGGGGTGTTAAAAATTTAATGGCTTCTTCCAAAGGTGCTTCAACCTACAGATTCAAGGAAGTGACACACAACTAAGTCACAAAGTTTAAACCTAATAACTCTACAGCAAATTCAAGGAAGTGACACACAACTAAGTCACGAAGTTTAAACCTAATAACTCTACAGCAGAATTAGCTATTTCTGAGTCACATCAGAGAGTTACTCTCATAAGGCAATACATAAGATGCTTAGAACCTCTTCTGTTACAAATTTTGCATCTTTCACTCAATGTTAGTGTCTAAACACAGACTGTCAAGTCTAAAAAACTGCTTTGTGATTGTTACAAATCACATTTTCCTATAGAGCTACAAGTCTTTGCCTTCTATCGTACAGCAGTATTAAACACAGCTGCAGCTGAACCCACATTGTAATGGGCAGGATGGCTCCCCATGCCAATCTACACACACGGGCCTGAGACGTTGGTACACGACTACTTTATGCCCATGACAGGGTCTGTTCATGTGAGCTTCAGCCAGGTTCCTGAAAGCTGCCAGGTCGTGGCAACGTTCCCAGCCAAGACACTAACAGCAAGCTTGAAGTAACTAGATATTGATCATGGTCTCCTGGTCTTAGCTAGCATAATCCAGTCAATGGACAGCTTTAACACAAATTAATTCTGTGCAAGGATTCTTTACAGACAGATCTCTTGCATCTAGAGGTTAGGGATAATTCGAACAAGAACTGTCTGTTGTCTTTCATATTTAGTTTTTTGTGAACATAAGCTACTCTCTAAGAATCAGATACAAAATTTAATTGTTGTCTGTCAATAACAATTTAGTAATGTTGAAGCAATACACTTCATTGCAAATAACTGAGTTGAAGGCAATGATGGACACCTTACGGAGCTCCTGCTAACCATATACTACAACAGTTTTCATTAAAAAATTGCATCATTTATATGTGCTGTTATGAGTTTGCATACATCAGTCACAACTGTGCACTTAAACTATTTGGAACCTATAATAAAACAGATTTCAAAGCTATGCCTTTAATGCCAAAGCTATATATCCAAAGAAGTCTAGGGGCAACTGTTTCAGGAAAACGTTTTGCAAGTGACCAACTATGTCAGAAATGGTCTTCTGGCATTAGGAACCAACTGAATTTGGAAGTGTCTATATCATGATTCTGATAGTAAATTTGGAATATAATTAGGGAAGGTTTGCCAAAGGAATGCATTAAACAGCTGCAACTATTCCCTATAATCTTGGGGACTACCTCGATTTTCCTGGGATATCCCATGGAACTCCAGAACTCAATTTCAATACATGCCATTGTGACCACTTCAGTCTTAACTAGCACTGCAATTAGTGCTGCTTCTTGCTACCAGTGAGCTAAACAATGGGAATACTGGCAATATTCTTAAATGACTAGTCAAGTTTTTAAGTCACTTGCTTCAGGGCTACAGAGTGACGTTCATTGTCTCAGCTTTCAAATATCATCCCCTCAAGAGCCAGTAATATTCGTTATACTGTGAAAATACCGAATACTGTATCTATCAGTACTTGGATACTATACTACTATTGCTATAAATTAATTTTTATAGTCTATATATATATTTTCATTATCTTTCCCAACATTTTTCAAGTGTTTTCCTACTCCTTACAGGTACAACTTTTAGCACAAGAATAGTCTTCTGGGTCACCTCCCCTTTATATATCTCTACAGTTCTTAATCCAGATCTCAAAAATCCATCTCAGTCTAGTCTACTACTACTTCCAAACAGCTTCTTTATCCTTTTTTCTCCCCATCCAAAACAAATGCAAACAAATGCCGTTAAAGCATTCAGTGTTTCTGAACCTTTCTTTCACAGGTTGTCTATGCTTAATAAATAAAAAAATATTATGGGACAAAGAGTGAATGATAATCACCTTACATACAGAATAGAAAGACTTCCATCCGATCAACTAGAAATAGGGTATAATCAACAAGTTAGTGCAATACACACATGTAGCAAATGTCTATGACTTCAATTGCTGCCTTTGAGAACTAGGCACAAAAGCTGTGATTTCATCACATTATGACAGTATTTCCAACAAACTATTCCTAGAAAAGAATTCTTTTTAAAATGCCGCCTGTGAAGAGAAGCCATACAAAAAATAAACAAGTTATCTGAATGGCTTTCAAATTGTATGTGTGCTCACTGTAATTTTTCTAGAGATTTCTATGACTTTATTATTACATTAGTAAGCACCTTTGCCAATTTCTCAGGGATAAGTTCTTCTTTCGGTCCTCCAATTTCTTCATCATCGTCATCTTTCTTCTTTTTCTGGTTCCTCTGTTGCTTCTCTTTCTCAGCGTTCTTCTTCTCCTCCTCCAGCTGTGCTTTCTTTTGCGCTCTTCTCTGCTTATTTCGTAGCTTCTTTAGCTCCTTGTCAGACATATTCGCTGTACACACGCAAAGGGTAAAACCAGACAATATTGATGTCTAATATTAAACAGTCTCAATCAGTTGTCAGATACCATCATCTTCTTTAAACCGTATCTACTAACTAGTAATGCTGCCATTACATTTGTAAAAGCTTGCTTACTATCGATAGATTATTTTACAGTCTACGCTGCTGCTTCATAATTCACAAATTCCTTTGTGAAATCAAGGCAATAGGAATTAGAACAATAGTATAACATGCTGAAGGCTGGACAAAGTAATTACTGCATGGCTCCACAAATCCAGTACCAGGAGTAAAAGCGCATACCAATACACGTTGATTTATTCCTTAGGCATTACACAACACAAGTTATGTTTAGTGTAGTAATTAAATGGTCTAACAAAAATAAGGTGAAATAGTTGCACTTTGGCATAGACAGTTCCAGCTTTCCTTTTAATGCCCTACAGACATCTTACATTTGATGCATATGCAGATCCTCTCCTCCCTCCAATTAAAGCATGGGGAATTAATTTAAAACACATCAGAAAGTGGCTACAAGAAATTCTATTATACTTCTACTTAATTTGAACCTGAAGCCACACAAATGAACCGAGATGAGAAATATTAAAACTTGACAAACTCCTCTTGAAAAATTCAATAGCCTCTATTCATACCATTTGAGGTCCCCCAAGCCATAATCGCTTAAGTTGCTCTCCAATCAGAGATGAGAGGAAAAAAAAAAAAAGAAATTGATGGATTTAAACATTATTTTTACATCAGAAGCAAGAGATGATAAAAATTTAAGTTGCTACCTAGTCCAATTTTTGCATACTGATAAAGTGCTTAGAAAGGGCTACCACCAAGCAGACCTGCTTCTACCTGTTATTTCACGGACCACCAACCATGAGAATTCCATGTTTTCTCAGCCATTTCATAACACAAACATGTTTTTACTTAAGAATTACAACTGTCACTACAAAAGCCATCATTGTTTTATAATAACCAAAATAAAAACATGTATTAGTTTAACTTTCAGTACAACATCTACTTTTACATGCAGGCCAAGTTACAGTTTACCTATTTTGAGTTGTGACAAAACTCTTATTTTTGACTACTACAGTTGACAACTATAAGAATGATGGATCTTCATAAAATATTCACTAATTAGTGAAACGGCATATTTAATAAATCCTGAGGGTTGAATACCTGTATCAGCCTCGTGTTCTTTATTTTCATCTGTTAAGGGATTATCATGAAGTTTCAAATATATCTCTATGGCAATTCGTGCTGCTTTGAAGTAGAACGGATGTTGTCGAAGTACATCTTCTAGTTTTAACAAGTCCACATAAGACCTAAGGGTAAGCTTCCTCATACAGTAAGTGTGAAAGTCAAACTGGTCATCCGTGATTTCTACAAAATGCTAACACAACATAACATAATATTATTTAGCAAGTATTAACAATCAGATACTAACCTTGACTTTTTTTAATACACTCTCCCCAAAGGAATACTTTAGTAAAAGCCTGCCGTTTGACAAATACACCCTACCTTTTAGAAATGTGAGTTAACAAAGCCCTCCAAAAATAAAGTAATGGTGAAAAGAACAGAAGGCATCTTAGGTCAGAACCAAAATTCACCCATTTCACAGTCTCTTAACAGTAACTACCCTCTGACAATTTGCAGTTTAAGTTTCTACATTCATTATATTTAAACAGCACTTGAAGAATTTTTCCTCTGTGAACTCCTCTAATTTTTTCAGTCAAAAGTATAATTTTGACTTCCATTAAATACTGTGGCAATAAATTCCACACTTAAAGCACACATGGTTTGAGAAAGTACTTCCGTTTGTTCAAGATCTGCTTTCCTCTTTGTCACCTGATGTCCCCTTGTTTTTGTTTGAGAAGCAGTGAAAAGTCATTCCCCTCTTCAACTTCTCCATGTACTTACGACCTCATACAACTTCATCCTAAACTCAGTTGTTGCTTGTCAAAGCTGAGGATAAAACAGTAAGCATGACAAGCTAACTGCAATCTCTTCGTGTCGAAGTTACTCCATGGCATGTATTTTACTAGCACGTTTTTAAGGAGTTGCGATATTCAGATTCTGTACGACGGATTTATATAATGGAAGAAACGTACTACTTCTCTAGTCACTTAATTCCCAACACTGTCCTTTTGACTGCTGCTCCGCACCAACACAGAAATTTTGCAGCACTGTCTATAATGGTTCCAGGATTTCTTTCCTGAGCAGCAATAATTCATGTAAGACCTTTTACTACTTATGCACGGGCACAGAATTCTTCTTCTTGTCCCTTCTTCACCGACTGCACTGTTGAACATTATGTTTCATGCGCCATTTTATCATTTAGTATTGAGACAGAGCAAGTGTCTTTGCACTATTCACTCCCCTTCTGTGATCACTTATTGCCATATCAAACAATGGAGACCCTAGGGAGACGCCCTAGTAATCTCCAAGATAAACGCCTTTTCTTGTAAAAGCTTATTATTTGCTCCTATGCTGTTTTCCCAGCCACGAACCAGCTATTAAATCCACAAGATCAACTTCCCTTCTTTTTCTGAGACAGTTTAGATCCTTTACGGTGTGAAGGCTGACATCAAAAGTGTTTCTGAAATCCAGAACACATTTTATCAACTAGACTGCCTTAAGCATAACTGGCACCTCTAAAAGATTTAAGAGGCACTGCTTTTTCTTACAAAAGCTTTGTTGATGGTTTCCGAATAAGACATATTTGTCTATCTTATTTATGATCTTTATTACACCTTCAATCAATTATTCCAATAAATAAATTAAACAGCTACTTAATTCCTTAGAAATGTTTTTTAGGGTGGCCTATGTCAGTTCTTCATTTGCTGACCTCTTCTGGTACCCAAGACAATTTACAAGACTAGTAGTTTCTTACACAAATTCTTTTAAAAGGATTTTACACAAATTTATTTAAAGGATTTGTGCAAACAGAATATGGTCATGGCAAATCACTTTGTTGACTTGTTCTAATCTGAGAATATGCCACAGGCTATTCCCCTCTGCAGAAAAGCATCAGTGTTGAAATCTCCTTAAGCCTCTCTATTTGCAGAGGCGTAGCTTCCTACTAAGTTCTCCTCTTTGAGCACTTCATTCACACCCTCAGCTGTCTGGTCATTTTTCTAGACCCTAATGTACTTAAAAAAACCAAACCCACTTTTTTTTTTTTTTTAAAGGAAGTTGTGCATCCAATTTTTTTTGTTTGCCTTACTATGGATCTGCATTTAATGTGCAAGTATCCCCCCTTTTTGGATACAATTTCTACCTTAAGAAGTCTTTATATTTCTAATAGCTTCTTTTAAACTGTAGCTTAATTATTTTTTTTTTAAAGGAGAAGATATTTAGTATTTTTGATAGTTTTTGACATTTGTTTTCTCCCTCTAAAATACAGTGGCTTAACAATAAGCAAGGCGACATCTTTCCTTTACTTTAATCCTGGACTAGTCAGCTCAGCCATGTTCTTTTTGGACTTAAAGCACGCATACTCTTGGTTTGTACCCAAATACCTATTTTTATGTACCCTGCCAAAAATAAGATTATTTCTGAAACTTTTCTGGTCTTTCCTGGATCTTCAAATGACTTTATAGAATCTCTCTGTAACACACAGTTTACAATGGCATTTTTAGGAGGAAATGTAATTTAATCAACGCCCCAGTAGCCAACATGAAATGAAATCTCTCCTGAAGCTACATGAAATACACTCTTACTGTTCAGAAAGGAAACGTATTAGCACAGTAAACTTCAGCTAGTGTTTTCCAACCTAGGCAGTTTAACCAGATACGTACTCTCTCAATTTCATGGCATTTCTTAAGTGCTTCTCCGAATTTGTTCATTGCTTTGTAAGCTTGCGCACATTCTGTCTGAAACCACATGCACTGCATTTCATTCAAGTTCTCTACTGCTGAGGTTCCTTCCTAAAAGCAAAAACAGCATTATAAAAAAAATAAGTCTCATCAACATGTTAACTGCCATTTCTTTTATCTTGTTCTAATTAAAAGCACAAATAAAGAGGCTATCAGAGTCCTGAAAGTCAGAAACGCCACAGTTAAGATGGACTTGCTTTGTTCATTAATTAAAAAAAAAAAAAAAAATTCCTCTATGTTCCACTTATTGGAAGAGTCAGAAATACACAATGAATAGCCAGGTATTGACCGTTTAACTGTGACAGTTCCTCATCTTTAGGATAGGAGACACATTCATTCAGTGTTTTTAATATAGTGTGTACAAATAACACATTGCAGCGTGAAGAAAAATGGCAGAAAAGTTCTAGCATGTGGCATGACACTAACACCTGCAGGATTTCTATTTTTTTTTTTAACTAAAACTGCCATCTGTGTCTTCCAGAGACCTGCTGATTGAGCTAAGCGTAGCAACTGACAGTAGTAATAGGTCATTTCTTATGCGATCAGTACTAGACAGTAGTGGCAAAGCAAAAGGAATACTGGTAGGTTTGACACCACCTCATTCAAAAAAGGAGATTACAGTTGTCTGTCAAATCCGGTATTTATATACACTTGCATAGATCTATAGAACTTAACATATGCCTTTCAAGCTTAATGTCAAAGTCAGCTACTTGGGGTGGATGCAGCCATTCTGACTTTACTCTGATCTTGCAAAAACCAGGCTATTCAAGAATCAGCCAAGAGCCAAAGCTGGGAAAATGACAGATAATATTCAAATGGCAGGGTAAGGAGAATGCCCCAAATGAGAGAGAAAGGCAGTCTTCAAACCAGTCTGATTTAAGCAGCTAAAAATCCGAAAAACTGTTAGTTCCATTTTCATTATGCTTAATTTAGGTCTTTTTAAATCATTTTCATTAAGAAGCTTGTATTTGAGCACTAGACATAAGATCAAAAGGAGATGAAAAAGATTACACAGAGCAACATCATCAAATTATATTTTTAAAGTTCAGTTTTGGGCAACTGGTACGCTTGGTTTTTTGACATCTTAATGCTGCTTAAGGCATTGAGAAAGGTCAACTAACCCAGATTCATAGCAGTTTTGCATCAAAAACTCCACTTAAAGCTACTGAGCTTACATAAAACAGAACTTCCCTTCCCTCCATGTTTGCCTGCACACAGCCTCCATTTCACAAAAATCCTTCAGCTTTCCCCCTATAAATACCCCCCGTTCAACCTACCTTACTCCAGGTTTTTCCTGCTCTTCAAGAGAGAAGAGAAAAACAGGACAACAAACAAAAAAGGATTACTTCTGCGGGTAGGTCCCAATAGCTTGTTGCCTGCCTCCCACTGACAACACATAAATGATATTGCCAGTATTCTAAAACTATCATTTGCCAAAGATTCTGGAAAGACTACATTGAGCTGTTTTGACTTTCGGTTATGAAAGAAGAACAGCAAGAGAAGCCAATTTAAAAAGTAACTAACCTGTGACATCAAACCTATCAGAATAGGTTACTGCAGGGACAAAAACTGATGCATGAAATTAAGCAATCTGGATAATGCAAACTTTTTATGCCAGCTAGTTGGTCATGGGTAAGCAGCCCCAAAAAAAAAAAAAAAAAAAAAAAAAGACATGTAACATGCAGCTTTCCTTCATTACTGTTAAACACGACCTTAGGGATGAAAGCTTGTTCACAAAAGGAAGACATCTCAGAAGGACTCTCACCTAGTAGCCACACAGAAATTTTATTACAAGAGAAGTCTGAATTCTCTAACTTACTACCATGGGGCTGGGGGGAAGAGACATGGGCAACTTTATCAGATCTTTCAAGGACCCTATAGAATCCACATTAAACCCAAAGACTTCTCAGAAAATTATTTTTTCAAAGTAGTTATCTCTAAAATGGGCATGCTGTATTTTTCCTACCTGGCAAAAGTGATCAAATCCAAGCTTTAGGGTTTTCACTTACTACTATGGAATCATGCTTATCCAAGATTAATTCAAACCCTGATACTGACTACCATTAGCGAAGGAAGCAATCATAGCTGCTCTGAAACAGAACTTAGAAGGTGAGTGGAAAGTTAACACAAAATGTTACTCCACAAGGGATTAGGCCCACGTTATTTGAAAGAGCTATAGTTAAATGGAACAAACCCTTGTAAACTTAGAACACATTTCTTCTGCTTCTTTAATGGAGTTTGCTTTCAACATATATTTTGCACATTTGGAGTTGATAAATCTGTCTGCCGTGTCCAAAGCCTGAGCCTCATCCATCCACCTTGCAGCTTCCTTAATATTTCCAGCATGCTTAAAGAGAGAGAAATTCAAGTTAGATTCAGTAATTATAAGCCATGCATGTTTTACCCACTCACTGTTTAATATAATTAGTTATTCTTTTAGACATTTTTTAATACATAGCTTTCTTCAGGAAAGCAACAGACCTTTAAAGAAAAAAAGCAGAAAAATTACTTTCCCTCATTATGGAACGACAGGTCTTTTAGCACTCGACATTTTTCCTGAAAATGCTTAAAGGACACTTTGGATAATCCCATTCTAATACAATACCATAGTGTAGTTGAGAAATTATTTTCAAGTAGTTAAAAAAAGTGGGGGGTGGGATAACAACAGGTGGGAGACATTTAAAACCAACTAATTTTATTAGTGATATTTTTATTATGAAAAATATAACTGTAAACTGAGAATTCACATTTTGCAGTATACTTGTCCTTCATTGACTTAAAAATCTTCATAGGGGCTTATTCATACGCACTAAAAAGCCCAAGTAGCCAAACTTATCTAGAAACTCACTAAAATTCACTGAGTAGTTTTCCATGGATTATCCACAGTGTCTTGCTTAATACAAGCTTAACGCTTCAATGTTCACATCAAAAACATTACAGGAAAGTATAAGCATACATAAAAGTCTTCCATCATAACAACCAAATAACCTCTGGTCACCAGAACAAGCCAAACTTACCTTAAAGATTTTTGCCTTCACAAGGAAGAGTTCTATCAAAGTGGGAGTACTTTCTATAGCAGCATTTATATATTCTAGAGCCAGGGATGGCTGTCCAATTTTATCATAATGTTGAGCCAAATAATATTGGACCCAGAGTAAAGTGGTTGGAGGTTCTTCTTTACCATCATCTGGAGGGAGAAAAATGGAGGGAGTTGTTTTGTTCAGTTTATTAAAACAACATGCCAGAAGCAGACTGCTATAAATACAGCCACTGAAGTTAATTCTGACTCTGTATCAGGCTGTCACAACAGAGCCTGGGAGTGTTTTCAAACACCTGGGTCCAGGTAAGTCCATTAACTTTTAAGTCTATGTTTTGACAAGACCTGAGCATATACTGTTCCCTTCTCGTACTGTGGTTTTAAGGGAAAGGAAAAGTGAGTCAGTGGGTCAGAAGGGAGTTAACATTTTGTTCCAACTAGTCCCTTAATGCAGCTTAGTGCATGATGTAGAGTTCTTTTAAAACTGTTTTAGATGAAGGGTATAGCAAAAAGTCCTGCTAAACACAAGTGTTGCACAGTAACAATGTAAAGGATTTCAGTACATTCAGCACTGACCCATAGACTTGAATATTTTTAAACAAAACAGGCTGTCTGTTCCAAACCCTAGCTTTAAAAAGATTTTTTGTTTCTACCTTTGACAAATTTATCATCACTATTTGCCTAAATGTATCCTAGAAAACATTCCTATACACAAGTCAGTTCTGAACGTTAGAGAGCTCTGTTCGAAATCCAAAATACTACCTAAGTCTTAAAAGCTCATTTCACTACTCAGTTTTGACTATGAAGCATAGCACCTTGCAGGGGGAAACAAAAGGGCGTGGAGGCTCTAGTCCTGCCAAAAGGTTCTGGTTCTTCAGTATAACTTAACTGTGCAATTATATGCATTTGTTCACTTTAAGGTAGCAGAAAATTGTTTATTTGAATGCAATTTAATATCAAAGCAAATATTGAATTGAACAGAAATAACAGTAAGTCATTTCCTTAAACCAGAAAAGTGCAAATGTGTTTGAAAGGCTTGGACAAATTCAAACAGGTATTGAGCGGCTATATTGTAGCCTATAGCATTAAATTCAATGGAAAAGTGTAACAGGCAACTTAGATGAGAATTTCATAATGAAGTATTGCATTAATGTTTCTGCAAGGCAGGGAAATAACTGGTTATAACTTCAATAAAAATGTCTTGAATAATTAGGATTATCCTGTAAAGTTTTAACATCATTAATGTCATTCATGCTATCTTAATTATTACACCATTTTAATCCGTCTACCAAAATTTCAAGACTATCCTCTGTTGATATTCTTTGCAGAAAAGTTTTTTCTTGGAGATTTTCTGTTACAAAGTGGTTGGGCAAATGACTAAAAAACCATCATAATGCTATCAGAGAGGAAATATGAAGGCTGGATTCAATACATGTACAACCATACCTCACAACAAAACAGCTGTCAGTCAAAACCTGGAAAAATGTTTTTTAACTCTCAAAGAAAACCCCCAAGAACACAAAACCCAGCCCCCACCAAAAGCTCCAAACCCCCCTCCCCCTGAAGATTGTGCTATCAGTATCTATTCCTTTTTGTTTGACATTTCTGCAATTAAAGATTTAACACAGCTTTCAAATTTCAGTTTCCCGGACAACGATAAACTCAAGCCTTGAAAATAGAATACTTGAACTCAAAACCACAAAGAGTGATCAAATTTGGGGATCCAGCAAAACTTTTAGAACAAGTGGCTAGATTTTGACTACAGACTTTATATTTGACAGCTTAAATGGTTCAGTTCCGTATTAGGGGGTGGAAAAAAAAAGGAAAAAACCCCATCATCTCAATTTCTTCACTCCCCACTGATTCCCTGCCTCTGAATGGTCACATAATGCTTACACCAGGCACTACTTCCATGAAGTATGCCAGTCTTAGCACTCACCATTTGGGTTAAATAACCTGCAGCTTCTTAGAGAGGTTTCATAACCTATCACGAGCTCTTCTATGATTGCCACCTACACATGCAAGACAAGACAAAAAAAAAAAAAATCTGTGGGCAAGATGGTATTTTATTTCAACTTGAACTACTTGGTGTTACCCAAACTAGTTATTTTTGGTAAGAGAATTCTGCAATATCCTGAGTTACAATACATATGGGAACACACTCAATCTCACCTCTCTTTTTAACAAATTAAGACCAAGCCTCCCTTCATTAACACTTACACAGCTTATAATTAAGTAAATCTTAGTTTTCTACGTTTCTACGTTTACCAACTTGGCACAAGGCTATGTATGCTTGTACTTGATTTCTTCTAGATATACTAGGCCATAATATACAACAGTGCTGACGGAGCGAGCACTGAAGAAAAGAGTTTCTTCATCTCTAACGCATCACAGCTACATGTAGATCATGTAAAAAGTGGGGGAAAAACCTACCTTCTCCTTGTCTTTATATAATGACCTCAAAGTATTGAAGACTGGTGGGCAACCTTTGCTGAAATTCATCCTTAGAAACTTGTCCAGACATTCCTTAAACTTTTCACCTTGAGAGGAAAAAGACCTGTTGATTTTGTTTTACCACACATTACTTGTCAATTGCAGACTGTTTATGCTGTTAAAACATCAGTATCTAAGAAACACGAGTGTTGATCACTACCTGCTCAGCAAAAATGCACTTACCTGACAAAAAGTTTAATGGTAATCTTCTTGGAACTAGTCCCCTTGGGTATTTAGTCCAGGCCTCTTCATAGATCTTTAGCCTCTCCATCATATTAGCTGGAACAGAATTTTTAGAGTTTACTTTTTCCTTCCTTTTTGGCAGGAAGGGAAGAGGGGGTGGGGAGTGATTTATATCTGGTTAAAAAAAGAATCGGAATATATAGCAACTAATGGCTATATACTTCCTAAAGAACACTAATTTCCATTTTATTCTTTTTAAAACTGCCATACTAAATGATTTCAGGTATTCAGTATCTGTAAATTCCTCTTCCAGCAGTGGAAGACTAACTGCTTATCTCTCATCTTAAAAAGAGTTCCTCCTGAAATGTTGAACAAACAAAGCCATTCAGGAGAGTCATGCCTGTTTTTCCAAAACCTGTATTACCTACAACATAAGGTTAAGATAACAGAGAGAGTAAAAGAAAAATCAAAACTGTCTTTTATGAAATAATTCTCTTCTTTCAACCATGCACAGAGATTACTGCATTTTTTTTCTGTTTTGGTTTTAAATAAGACACAGTAACAACAATACGAGAAATACTTCCAGCTTTTCTTACAAAAACATTATGACAATATGTACACACTAAAAAGCAAAACTTAAATGGGGACATTTTTAAATAATAGTTTTATTATTTAAAGCAATACAAGTTTTCAACAAATATATAAATTCCAATTGTGCAGGAACAGCTTGTTTACTACAACATATCAAATCATTACCTGGTTTAAGTGCCTTTTCTAGGCCTTTGTAGTAGGCCCAGTTTTCAGGATTCCTTTCTTGCAGTCCTTTGTAGACTTCAACTGCTTCTTCAAGTCTGCCAAGCTGAAGCAGGAGTTCTCCTGTGTGAAATCCAAGAAGTTTTAAATTAAGGTAACAAGATACTGAAGCAGTATAATATTAATCACTGTACAGTAAAAGATTAGATAATCCTTAACTCCATATAGATTCTAATTTCTTAGAAAAAATTATCACAGTGGCATCACAAACTAGCTGACAGATATGCTTTTACTTTGACAACAGGTGCAATTACAGTAAGATTCTACAACTCAGCCAGTAACTTTTGAAACTTACTTGAAAATTTAATGTTAAAAGTAAGATGCACGTGTTTTTTTCTCACTTACTGAAGTGACTGGTTACTTTAAGTGCAGTTTTTACTACAGAAGGCAATTAAAAGCAGTACACGGTATTTCATGTATATAGCATCTTGAATACCAAATTGAAATTGCAGCGCTGCAAATAAAAGAATGGTTCTTCAGTCTGGTATTTCATAAAACTAACTTCAATGTTTTAAATCAAGCCATTGATCTGATTAATGAATTCTCAAGATTCTGCAAGCAAGTTTCCTTTTAATGACACGTCATTACTTTTAACAGTTGTATCTTGTAAAGGCTAGATCTAACAACTGTATAGAGCATCTTTGCTGATGTTGGAGTTGGAACAAAAGTCAACTTCCCATTTCACAATGGGAAACCACATTTTACAAAGCTTTGTTATTGGCAAGTGTTAGGCACTAAAAGATTACACACCAGAGGTGATACAGTGTCATTCTAGATTAAGGTAAGATTTTCCCATCTGGTTTCAAGAGGAAAATGCGAGTCAGCGTTACCTCTCTTCCCTATGTCACGCAACTGACACATAATTTTGACAAGAGATGCTGCTTCCCACACGTAGGATAACTTGAGGACTACATGCAGTATCTAATGCCAGGGAAAACATCAATAGTTCACTTGCTGAGAATGACAGAATCTGGAAAATAAACCTAAATTCCTACCCTGAGGTGAAAGTTATAATTTTTATCTAATGGTGGCAAATGCTAATACTATTTTCAGTACTTCTCAGTTGTACTTCATCCACAATGGCTTTTGCATACGCACTTAAAATTCATAGACAACACTCATTTATTAGCAGGCTCTTCTGTAGTATGCACAGCAGCTAAGCTAGACTTAAACAACACAACAGGAGCTGTGCCCAAAAAAAATTAATCAGTTGTACCCTGTTGAAAGCACACAGACTGCAAAGAGTATTTCCATCCTTTTTTCTGGTAACTTGATAGAAGGTTTTGCATTTTGTTTTGGTTGGGTTTTTTTTTTTTTGTGAAGTTGTATTTGAAAATCCTATTTCAGTACCAGCCTCGGACCTTCATCAAAAACTTAAGAACACGTAGTATGTCAGAAGATCTTTCAGATAAAAGTCAAGTCATAAAAAACCACCCCCACCCCCGAAACCAAAGCTCCCGCTACTACGGCCTGTCAGCCTGACCTCGGTGCCGGGGAAGATTATGGAGCGGTTCATCTTGAGGGCGCTCACAAGGCATGAGTGGGACAACCA